AAGTTTAGCGTTTTATTGAATAGACAATATATGCACAAAAATAGTCGGAAAATGAATGATAAAATGCGAAAATTATGAAAAATTCAGAAAATTCGAAAAAAGTACAAAATGGAAAAATTTTTTTTAGTCATAAAAATGGGAAGTACAGAATTTGGAAATAAGACAAATAATAGAAAGGAACGAAATTCTCTAATTTCCTTTTTTTTTTAATTCTGATGTCGTTATTTTTCCAATTTTTAATTATTTTATTTTATATTTTATCTGCTAAATGTTTCGAAAAGCTTTGAAAATTTATTTTCTCTCGCTTTTCCGTCTATTGCATATGCAAACGCGCTCTGAATAAACAACAACAACAGAATAGGAGAAAAATTGACCCATCGAACGTCCGGCCATGGTCCGTTCGGTGTCAAGGACTGTCCTTGAAGAACGAGCCGGCCGATCGATAAGGCTGTGCGGACCCCCCCCCCCCCCCCCCCACACACTTTGGTAACAAGATCAATAGACAGGAAACATGAGTTTTTTTGAAAAAAAATCAACTATTCTCAATCTCACCAAAGGCGCGCCAGCCAGCTGTTTGAAGCGCCAGGGGCGTGGCAATCATACTGATGAATGATAAGTAAAAAACCTAGAATAGCTCTCAGACTGACTGTCACGTTTGAGCTAATTTATCTCGGTTTCTGTAAGAGATATTAAAAAGTGGCCAACTGATAAGATGTTTTTTACATTATAACGAACGATTTATCAGTGGACCACTTTTTGATATCTCTTACAGTAACTGGGATAAATTGGGTCAAAGTTAAAGAAGGCGCCTCCAGTAAAAGGCGTTCTATTAAAGGTTTTACGGTATTGAAACTTTGGAAAATGAGAAATTCGGAAATTGGAAAACTGAGAAGTTGGAAAATCGGTGATTCGAAAATCCAGAAATTCAACCAATCGGAAAATCAGAATTTCGAAAACTGAAGATTTCAGAATTTTAGGAAAAATAACACTGATTAGAACAAGATAACACTCCCCCATAAATTGAGATAAATATCAATACTGTTCCTGGAATTACAAAAATCGGAGCTGTGGAAGGTCCCAGTTACAGTAACCTAAAAGTACCGTAAACACTCTAATAGAACACCACCCGGACCGTCCACTTTGAGCCTATATATCTCACTTCTTTTGAAAGATATCAAAAAGTTGTCAACTAATGAAATGTTTATCATATTATCAGCAACATTTTATCAGTTGACCACTTTTTGATATCTCTCACAGAAAACGAGATAAACTGGCTCAAATTTGACGATTCGTGTGGCGTTCTATTAGAGTGTTTACGGTATCTCAATTTTCGTGCGTTTTCGGGGAAATTGACTGAAACCACACACAAAAATCGAGAGCTTTTTGAAAATACAGAAAATTCAACTATTTTTTAGGTTACTGTAGTTTTCGTTTTGGGACCATATTAGGATAGTAAACTGATAATTCGGAAACTTGAAATTTTGAGAAATTTGGAAATTGAGATATTCAAAAAAAAACAAAGCATTAAAAATTCACTAAATTTATTGATATTCTTTCCACACTTATTCGTAATCATACTCCTCTGCTTCCTCCACCCAAATCCAAACCCTTTTCTCTACCATTTCGAAAGCTTAAACGGACAAGGCACCTCTACTCCAAGCTTCTTAAAACTCCAACTACGGCTCCTAGGAAAATTCTCCATGTTCGAACTCGTATCAAATCTCTCACTCGAACAATCAATAAGAAAATGGTAAGTGACGAATTCCGAATCCTCTCAGCCCCACACTGTCGTGCTGCCCGCGCCCTCATCAAAAGTAGAATTAGATCTTCACCTAAAGTCCCACCTCTTTCTGCTAATGGCTGTCTTATAACCTCTGAACACGAAAAATCCACCCTTTTCACCAAAACATTCTCTTCTAATTATAATCATCTCACTTCGTCCGCATCCATCTCTCCCCCAATAAGTCATCAGCATCCTCCTTTTTCTGGCTCTGACCTTGAAATCTTCGATCCCTGGATAATTGAGAAGCTTCTTCTCAAACTCCCGCCTCGTTGTGGCTATTCTCCCCATTCGGCCAATTACTTTATCATTAAAAAATGCGCCACCACTCTAGCACTGCCTTTATCGATTATCTTCTCTGACTCACTCTCCACGTCACATGTACCCGACTCTTGGAAACACGCAGTAGTCGTTCCCATACCAAAAAAGGGTTCTCCTTCATCGCCCGAAAACTATCGCCCCATTTCGCTTACTGACCCATTCGCTCGAATTTTCGAACGATTGGTATGTGATCGCATCAAATGGGAATTCCTCCATCAATTCAGTAGTCTTCAACATGGTTTTCTCTCCTACAGATCCTGCACCACCTCTCTAGTTCAATCGGTCTCGAATTATAAAGCTACTCTTCTGAAATATAATACCCTAGACGTCGTCTTTTTCGATTTCCGCAAAGCCTTCGACCAGGTACATCATCAACTTCTCATCCAGAAACTTGCTAGCTTTGGAATCCCTAAATCTTACGTAGCTTGGTTCTCCTCGTTCCTCTCTGTTCGAACGTTCTCTGTCAAAATCTATGATTTTATTGGACCTCCTTCCTCTGTCATTCCCTCTGGTGTTCCTCAAGGATCAGTCTCCGGTCCCTTGCTATTTCTCATATTCATCAATGATCTGCTCTTAGAACTTGAACAAATTCCCTCTCTTCACCTTGCCGCCTTTGCTGATGATATCAAACTGTATTCTCATGACCCAATCGCCCTTCAAACTGGTATCAACATGGTTGTAAATTGGGCTTCCGCCAACCATCTCCCTCTTGCCCACTCTAAAACTGCCCTTCTTCGCCTAGGTTCCCATAATTCTTCCTATCCTCTCAATATTGCGGGTGTCACACTTACTCCCTCCCCCTCCGTCCGAGACTTGGGACTCATTACTGATTCCTCTCTCAAATTCTCTGCTCACATCAACAAAATCACATCTCTAGCTCTTCTCCGCTCCAAACAACTCTTAAAGTCATTTAGATCTAAGTCTCCAGAATTCTACATTCATATTTTCAAATGTTATGTTCTCCCGATTCTTGAATATTGTTCTGTAGTTTATTCCCCTCCGCCTTCTTCTCGCCTTGCTCTAAAACTAGAATCTCCCTTAAGATTTTTCTCTAAGTGTATTTTCCAGCGTTGTAATATCCAGTACAGCTCCTATTCTGATCGTCTCTCTATCCTCAATATGTTCTCTATTCGACATCGTAGGCTAAAAGCTCAACTAATTCTTCTCTATAAATTGTTAAATGGCTCCGCCTACTTTCCTAACCTTAATGCACATGTCAAATACTCCTCCTCCCCTCGTCGCCCTATAAACTTAATTATTGTTCAGCCCTACTCCTCTGACTATTTTTCTTCAATTGTTCCCCTGTGGAACGCCATCACTTCCCAAGTTACCCGATTTCTCCTACCTTCCGAGTTTGAATCCTTAATTTCTTCCAGTATTACCCGCTATTGATTTATTTGCTCCTATTTTTTTCTTTTCTCTTCTTATACCGGTTCATTGTTCCTGTGTCAAATATCTTAATTATCCCGTTTCCCCTCCCCTACTCAGATCGGCCTCGTGAGGGGCATTCTTTCTGAGTCTTTCATGTCCTGCCCTCTATTGCTTCATTACCTGTTCAATAAATTAATTTCAATTTCAATTCAAGAATTCAGAAAACGAGAAATTCGAAAATTGAGAAATTCAGAAAATTCATAATTTCAGAAATTCGGAAATTCTGGAATTCTGAATTTCAGAGATTCGGAAATTCAGAAATTTAGAAATTCGGAAATTCTGAAAACTAGAAAATTGAAAGTTCAGAAAATGCTAAAAATTAAGAAATTCAAAAATTGAGAAAATTGGAAATCAGGAAATCGAGGAATCCGAAAGTTTATAATAGAGTTGGCAGCGGGGCATTCANCTGAAAAATCGATTTTTGACGTTTTTGGGGCTATTCTGGTCAATTTTGGGTCATTTTCACAAGATTTTCAGTTGATTTTGGACCAGTTTTCATGAAATTTACCCCAATTTTCATGAGTTTTAGACTATTTTTAATGAATTTTGGACCATTTTTCATGAATTTTGGACCATTTTTCAATACATTTTTGACAAAATTCTGGCGGTTTTATGTCAATTTTGAACCGTTCTTCAGCATTTT